GTCACACCTCAACCCGCCTCAAAGCCAACGCTGATTGGACGTTCGTTTGGTGAACGGCTCCAAATTTTCTTTAACGGAGAGTCTCCAGACTGATCTGCGAGTGAAACCTTGAAAGCTTGCGAGATCAGGATGGTCTCACGAGGCTAGGGTTTTGCATCTAAAGGCTAATGTTTCCCATCTTACATGCTTTGTTGCCAGGTTGGGGTGTTTCCCAATCTGGCAGTTAGGGTTACAGTCTAAGAGATTAATAGACTTTGGTGCAAATTGGGCGAGATTTCGTATATCCAGGCGGTTACTGAACATTTTTTAGGCTGGAAGACGTGAGTCAGCTACCCTGCTGATGTGTTGAGTGTGGAAGTTACGCAGCAGCAGTCACTGCTCGGCCTAATTGCTCTGTCCTAATCTTTGCTTTCTAGCAAAATGACAGAAGTCTGAGGTGAAGTTTTTCAAGCTTTCTTTTGGTCCAACTTTCATTGTCCAGAGCAGTGGGCTGCCCTTTCTTTGTTGCAACCCCCCACTGCCAGCCAGCTGGCTGAAAAAAGGCTGCTAAACATTTGCCATGCCAAAAACTTTGCAGTCACATAATATTTCTGCTCAAAAAAACCTGATATATCCCAGCAATTGCTGGTCAACAGCAGGGAATGAGTGGATGTTTGTTAAGCAGCTGATTGGCTGCCTCAGCAGATAGCTCATCTAATTATAAGCTTTAATTAGATCATTATTATTAGCTGTGATTTATGATTTATGTGCAGAAAACTTTCTTTGGTTTTACTGAGCAAAATGAAAATAAAGTCAAAATAGATTAAACGATCATAGTGCTCAAAATTGTAATTGTTTTGGCACCAGTCAGAGAAAAATAAAATAATTTTCTGTTCCTTTAAAAATACTAAATGCATCATAGAATATATTTTGGTTTAAAACGTGAGGAAAAGCCAGAATAATGTGAAATTATATTTTCAATGCTGTTGAAAATATAATGACCAGACCGCATGATTTTGCCATTTGAAAAAAATATAAAATAATGGAAAATAATGAAATTTTAAAGCATTTCAAAAGCATTTTAAGAATAATAAGCAGAATTAATTATGTCTTTCCAGCTTTGTGATTACACACACCTTTGCACCAAAGGTGCAATCATTACAAACCTCTAAATCAACTTTTTGTGCAGAGAAACTGTATAAATGGCTGTCTTAGAGAGCCATCTGTGTCTCCAGCTTTATTTTGAGCACTTGCTTCACATTTATTAAAATCATGTTTTGTCTAAAACCATCTTTTTCTCGCCCACCTCAGATTAAATCTGGGTTAGTGCCTCAGATTCTTCCTATTGGCTTATCCAGGGTGTGATTTCAGCAAAGGGAGAACCGAGGTAAGCAGCTCTACCGACTCGTTCTTCACATATTAAAAACAAATAAACTTCTAATAATAAATGTTAAAACAAAATTCAATCAAATAATGATTTTCCTCATTGAAAAAAAGTAGGTAAATTAAAATTGTATTATATAAAAAAAGAAGAAGTTTTCACCATTTGTCCATAAAAGCTATTGGAGAAAAAAAAAATTCTTTTAGCCTTTCTGGGGGCATTTTTTTAAACTAACCCTGAAGTGACGCACGTTGTACTTGCATAAATAATAACACAGTGAAATATTTTGGATATTTTACGCCATTGAATTTAACATTTAAATATTTTAAAATATTTAATCATATATGGATAAATAAAACATTTTAGTTAAGAAGAAAAAACAAAACCTTTTTATGCACTGCAAAAATGATCTCAAAATGAGTAAAAATGTCTCAAATTAAGTGTATTTACCCTTAATTTGAGCAGGTAAATAAGATGATTTGTCAATAAAATTAGTATTTTTACTCTTAGAATAAGGTATTTAGATAAAATGCACTTGAAATAAGATAATGCAATTGTTTTTTCTTTATTTTAAGTGTAAATTGTCTTGTTCCATTGGCAAAGGGTCTCACTTAAATCCTTAATTCAAGAAAAAATGCACTTATTTTAAGAAGAAATTACTTATTTAGATTTCATTTTTTGCAGTGTGACCAATATGCAAGTATATCTATTTTATTCATTTGTTCAAATATTTCATAATCTTAGCTTTTCTTTTTTTTCAGTATGTTAATGACACTTTTACAGATGCAGAGCTATAATGCCTCAAGGTAATGTAAAATAAATAGTTTTGAAGGTTGGCGCCTCTTTGTGCAGCTGTGCAGCGTTCTCACTTTCTCATCCAAACTCACACGTTTTCTCTAAATATAGAAGGTTCTAATTAAAACAGATTCACTTCCTGTGAACCTCTATTAACACCGATATAGTTTATGCAGCAGCAGTTCAACACTTTACAGGAAAAAGAAATTGTAAAATTTAATTTCATCGAAACAAAACTGAAATCTGGAACACTGGTATAAAAAAACACTATTAGTTTGAAGAAACTCAAAATCAAACCTTGTAATTTAACCTAGAATAAGTCCAACATGTATATATTTTACTC